TTAAATATGTGTTATTGTCACTTGAACTACAAATAGCTAATGTTGTTTTCTATATTTAAATATGTGTTATTGTCACTTGAACTACAAATAGCTAATGTTGTTTTCTATATTTAAATATGTGTTATTGTCACTTGAACTACAAATAGTTAATGTTGTTTTCTATATTTAAATATGTGTTATTGTCACTTGAACTACAAATAGTTAATGTTGTTTTCTATATTTAAATATGTGTTATTGTCACTTGAACAACAAATAGTTAATGTTGTTTTCTATATTTAAATATGTGTATTTTTTAATTCAACAGCTTAAAGAAGCTCTACAAAAGACATTGAAGCTACGTAGGTAAGAAAACTTGTGTTTTATTATTATTATTATTATTTAGGTAAGGAAACTTGTGTTTTATTATTATTATTATTTAGGTAAGGAAACTTGTGTTTTATTATTTTGATTATTTAAGTAAGGAAACTTGTGTTTTATTATTATTATTTATTTAGGTAAGAAAACTTGTGTTTTATTATTATTATTATTATTTAGGTAAGAAAACTTGTGTTTTATTATTTTTATAGCTGGTTCTTTCTTATCTCGGTGAACCAGTGTTGTTCGTTATTCGTGTTAGTACTCGGTGAACCAGTGTTGTTCGTCATTCGTGTTAGTACTCGGTGAACCAGGTTGTTCGTCATTCGTGTTAGTACTCATGAAATCAGATTACTGTGTTACAAATTGAAGTAATGATGTATTTTTCAATAACTCTAGCTATGAAAGTGTTATAGTAACTAAAAAGGGGAATTGTTAATTATAATGTTGTACTTCATGTTACGTTACTTTTAGGTTAAATTTTCTCACATCTCAGTATTTTAGGTGTTGTAATGAGGTTTGTAACAATCTGTTCAATTGAAATACTAGTTTACAGAATTAGCCAACTTGAAATACAACTGTTGATCTCTTGCATATTACACATCTTCCATCTATTGTTTTTGGCCATCTTATCGTACTTTGATTGTAACAACTTGATGTAGATCAGTATAAACATCCTGTTTTGTGTGAAAATAGCAAAATATTTATGATATATACTATTCTTGATATCAGTAAATGTCAAACTTTATTTAAGGTATCAGTGTTTGGGGGATTAACATTTCTTCCCTGTAGTTAAATTATTACCAACACAAATGTTTATAGTAAATAACATTGTATGTAGTCAAATATATTATTCTTGATATCAGTAAATGTCAAACTTTATTTAAGGTATCAGTGTTTGGGGGATTAACATTTCTTCCCTGTAGTTAAATTATTACCAACACAAATGTTTATAGTAAATAACATTGTACGTAGTCAAAGCACAAAAACATTTGATTAATATCAGAATCAGAATAAAGATGCTTCTCAACCAGTTTTAGATCAAACCTGCAATGATGTATAGTTGCTGTAATGTTCTTGTATGATTATTAGATCAAACCTGCAATGATGTATAGTTGCTGTAATGTTCTTGTATGATTATTAGATCAAACCTGCAATGATGTATAGTTGCTGTAATGTTCTTGTATGATTATTAGATCAAACCTGCAATGATAGTTGCTGTAATGTTCTTGTATGATTAGTTAAAAACATGCCCAGAACCGATGAAAATGGATTTCAGACATGGCTGAATTGGAAAACGTTTTTCCATGCTACATGTATGTTTGATTAATGTTAACAGTTTTTCGATTCGTTTTTACAATTTTCCAGTAACCAAAATGTAAAAATTCCTGGAATCTGTTCATTAAAGCTCCAAATATCTTAACGCCGACGTCTTTTTTTTCCAAATGATTATGTCGTGAAGTTATGTTAAAAAAGATAAGTGA